TAGCCATAATTGATCAAAGATTATCAAGAGTGGCCTCGCAATTAAATCTTTCAGCTGCCTCATGGGTGCATCCCACCAGGGCCCATGGACTTACGTATGTCCAGTTTGCTTAAGCGTTCCCTGACCTGATCCTCTTCCACCAAAGGTAGTTCCTCCTTGCTCCAGATTATCCCCCTGGTCTCCAGGACCTGGGATTCTTGAAGGCCTGTCACATGCTGGGAAACAGCATCAGGCCACTACCAGCAACCCTGCAAGGGCCAAGTCTCTATGGGTCAGTGAAAAGAGCAACACTGACTTCTTATGCATTGATAACTGCCAATCCCATTCAGATTCTGCACATGCATTGCACCTTGCCAAGGCGCGATGGCATTCACCTCGTGTCTCAAAGAAGAACGTAAGACTTGCATTCCATTCACACTGCATTCAAATTATGGCCAGATCATGTACCAGCCTTGTTACAAAAGGTAAGATTTACCCCTTACATGTTTCAGATGAACTGGGCTCCTTTCTCATTAGAAAAGCTGGTCAATTCACCTGTCAGATATGCAGCCAAATTCTGCAATAGGAGCTAGAAAAGAATAAAAAGCCAGAAAGCTGGGTGGTTTCCCTCAAATGTGCTTCTGATTTTTTCTCTCTTAAACTAATTTAAGAAATGTATCACTAAGTCTAATTAATATAAGATGCAATCTGAAACCTTTTACAAATTAGCACTAGATTATGAGCATTTCCACATCATTATAACTCTTATAACAAAAAATAACCAAATAAGCAAGGGCAATAAATCTCACTTTCATTCAGTGTTTTGGTCCCAGGGACATCTGTTCTTTGTTGATCACCTTCCTTTTCAGACGATTGGGCCTCAGAATTCAGCTACTCTGGATTACAAAACTCAGATAGAATATATGCATTTGGGTTGACATACGATAGTAGTAGCATCAGGTTTAGTAGATCTACCTTCTTGCACTTTTTAAACTACAGATTATCTTAACACCCTCACCAGCATAAACATCACTCACAGGTTTACTGTGGCAAAACTAAATTGCTCCATAAACAGATTTATAAGCGTGTGGCTTGACTCTCTAAATACAGCCTCCGACAACATCCATAAAGAAGGCGCTTCCTTGTCACTTCTGAGAGGTTTCTGTTTCTTTTATAGTTTGGGAGGAATTTGGGATTGAGCAAGGAGAGGTTGCTCTTAATTCACTCAGCTGAGCAGCGGATACATCTTCAGAAGTCTGTTTTCATTGGAGGAGAGGTGTTATTTCATGGCACACAGTCATATACCAGTACAAATAGTCATACCCCAGTTTATACTCTGTTAATGGACAGCTATTCCTATATTAATTAATTTGTCTTTAAAAAACAGGGTTTGTTAGCATTGGCACAAAGGCCTGGAGCTACAGTGTTTAAACTGCTTTAAAACTGGAGCCAGCTGCAGGAGAAGACGTATGCTGCATGGGCTATGTAAGCATAGCTGCACAGAGGCACCTGGGGGACAGGGTGGGAGGAAGGGCATGCCCTGACCCAAGGAGATCACTATGTGCCACGCTGTACACTAGAGATCCTTTTACAGTTCCACCATCCATTTACACCACAGCCATTCAAAAGAATGCCAAGGGTTCAAAAAAAGTGCTAGGTACTCCATTACCTAGAGCAATGTTCTGAAGTTTAAGCACCCACAGCACCAGCAGTACTGTATCAACTCAGACAAAAATTCAGCATCTAGATGTCTCACAAAAGCCTGGTAAGTGCCTAGAAGCAGCAACACCAGAATATTTCACTGGCATTAGAACTTCGTATTTCACAACAACATTTTACCATCTGCTCAACACTGCTGTTTCACAACTCAGTGAAATGCAGCAGTCAGAGAAGTCTGGTCAGTTGCCTGCGAAATAATTCTTTTCATATGTTACCTTGTGTAACTGATCCGAATTCCTACACTATTTCATATGTCTGAAAAGGGGTGGTGCAGAGGGGAAAGCCTCCAGATGCTGCCTGCTGGACCATCTGACACAGCCAGAAGGGTCAGAGAGGGGTTAGACAATAGAACCCTAAGCATCCTGTGGTAGCTAGCATATTCCTCCCTTTTGAAAAGAGCCCAGGAGGTTTATGCCAGGGACGAAAGAAGAAGGCAAAACAGATTAGGAGGCTTTGAAAGTCATTTTTCAAGGGAAGGCAGCTGGTTGGTCTTATCTTGCATTGCTCCAGAAAGAGGATCAACCAGCCTGTCTGAGGTAATAATGAGTTGGAAGACGTGTGTGTAGAAAGCATGAGCCGGTCAGTCCACACTGACATATAAATTTCTCCTTACCAAGGAGAGAGGATCCCACACAGTGGGACTCTTCCCTCACTGACAAACAAGAATTTTGAGCCAGCAGCAAGACCAGCCCCAGATAACAAGACCCAACTGAAAGTAAGAGATGAGTTGCAGGCAGCTGAGATCCATCAGGGGACTCCATGTCTCCTGGGCCAAAGAGAACCCAAGATATCAAAAATTGCTTCTGGTACAAGAACAGAGATGTTTGATTTTTTACTTCTCCCTTCCAAGCAAAAGAATTATTTACTTATCTGAACAAAATGAGAACATTAAAGAGAACATTCTAAAGAGAATAGGAGATCAAACTGCCAAGCTGTCCTGTCTTAGAGACAAGATTTCTGAGTCTCGTGTAAAAAACAACCTAGTTCTGCAAAAAAGACAAACTCGCTCCTCATGTACACCTGACTTAAGAGGAGGGAGTCATTGATTTTGAAAGAGGAGGGAATCTACTGCCAACTGCAGCGTCTGTGGAGAAACAGCTATTAGACATAGAGAACAGCATTTTGGAAATCTTTGTATTAAACCCGTCAGAATTAAAAGCACTGTACATCTTGTAGTAAAAAGCAAACCCAAGTTCCACTTATTGCTTCACAAAATAAATAGAACAGCTCTAGCCCACTGTTGTGGTTTAGCCCCAGCCAGCAACTAAGCACCACGCAGCCGCTCGCTCACTCCCCCTACCCCAATGGGATGGGGGAGAGAATTGGAGGAGTAAGAGTGAGAAACACTCCTGGGTTGAGATAAGAACAGTTTAATAATTGAAATAAAGTAAAATAGTAATGATAATAATAACAATATAATAATGATAATAACAATAATAATGTACAAAGCAAGTGATGCACAATGCAATTGCTCACCACCCACCAACCGATACCCAGACAGTTCCCGAGCAGCGATCACTGCTCCCCGGCCAACCCCCCCCAGTTTATATACTGAGCATGACGTCATATGGTATGGAATAGCCCTTTGGTCAGTTTGGATCAACTATTCTGGCTGTGCCCCCTCCCAGTTTCTTGTGCACCTGGCAGAGCATGGGAAGCTGAAAAGTCCTTGACTAGCATAAGCAGTACTTAGCAACAACTAAAAACATCAGCGTGTTATCAACATTCTTCTCCTACTAAATCCAAAACACAGCACTATGCCTGCTACTAGGAAGAAAATTAACTCTATCCCAGCCGAAACCAGGACACCCACAAACACACAGGTAAGGTGTCCTCCTTAAGAACCATTTCCCAGTCACAAATGTAGAAGAAGAACAGAAACAGACAGTAGAGTATCTCCCACTCCTCGGCAGTCCCACTCTGTCAAATGCAAGAAAACCCACAGGTGAAGGACCAATGGCTTCATCAACTCACCCATCCCCACTCAGAGTTTGAGTTGGTAACAGTAACCCATGAGACATTTTGAGCCTTCCTCAGCTGAGCTAAGGGTGGTACTGTCACCTTTAGCATTGAGTTGCTCAGCATTATTATAGCCCTGAGGCTGGCAGAGCCTCACAGGAGTCCACTCTGTTCAAAGTCACTGTTCACAATAGACTCATCCTGGGTGACCTCTGGGTAACAGCCAAAAGCACCGGGCTCTGGAAATCCAAGTTCACGTACGTTCCTTAAAAGTTTGTTGAGGAACTCTTGGCCAGTAGTCCATGCAAATCTAACAAGATATCTATCTTGTTGTAGACAAATACAGAGAAGAACAAAATTCCAGGTGAGTACAGCCACCTCTACAGAGCAGCCTAAGGTGACAAAGTTAAATGTACCATGACTTCTACAGACATAAAATGGGCAACAGCAGAGTTTGGTTAAGTCAGCAGTCTGAAAGCTCAGCTAAGTCCTACCTGTCTGCAGGGTATTGTGTTTATTACCTGTAATCAGAAGATGTCCTCAGGAGTTTTTCTTTCCCTCAAGAGCAACCATGAAAATCTAATGTTCTAAAATGAATGCACTTGTCTAACCTTTGGCAACAAGGGAAAGGCACCAATGCTTATTTACATATGAGAAGCCACACTATGAGAATATGCTTACATCTGTTTCAAGAACTAACCGCAGAAGTGAAATACTTGAGAATGATCGATTTTATTCACATGTTGGACAATTCAGGAAAAAAAGGGTAGAAAAATAAAAGAAATGGTATAAAATCCTCTAAATCAAAGTAAAGTAAGTTCTAGTAAGTCTACATCCTTTGAGAGCTAAGTGCTTTTTGGTATTTTCTATAAGCAGAATAAATGCAAGCAAATGCATCAAAGTATTTTGACCAATGTTATTTCACTAAAATCTCTGAGGTATTGTTTTATTTCATTCAGTACACTTGAAAAGTGCACATTTTGGTGTTTATGGAACAAAGTCAAGTTTCGATACTTTTATCCCTTTTAAACAATACACTGTTGGCTAACAGAAGTTTCTCAGTACTCAACATGTTGTATCAGATCAACTGAGAAATAGTTTTATTTTCACTATTAAGTTACTAGATAATAACTTCATAATCTAGTATTTCCTTCATCTGAAATGTGGGAGCCAAGTGGCTATGTAAAGCTTTATCTCTCAATCCCTTTTCCTCATCGCCCTGGTAGTCTAACTGAAGAATTAAAGTAATTTGAATGTCTCTGCACTAGGAAGACTCTACACACAAGAATCCACATTCTTCTTGTGTTTCAGATCTATTTTTATTGCCTCCACAGCCCCTGTACCAGAACTGACCACACATTTTCTGCCCTTTGTCGTAGTACCACTTCAGAATGTAAGTCTGACATTCTCCACTATCTTGAACAAGGTCACATCCATCTGGAAAAGGCAAGTAAGAGACAGATTGAATGAAAGAAAGAGTTACCCTTCTCAGCACTGTAATTTCAGGGAAAAGTAACATTCAGTGCAAACTGGCAGATGAAGGAGGTAGCCAGTGTTCAAGGTCTTACAAAGATTCACTAAGTATTCATCCACAAACCCACAGTGCTGGAATGGCCTGAAGTCCCTCTTCTTATGATTGATTTAACCAGGAAGAATGTCTGAAACAACTAGCTTTTCAGTGGCTTAAACAGAAGGAATGCTAAAAGGTGTTTAGTCTTCTAACATAGGCTTTTTACTAAAATTATTGTAAAATTATTATACTTGGTCTATAGGCACTAGGTAAATAAAGCTTTTCATAATGTCCCTCTTCTTTAGTCCAACTTGTTACACTGGTATCTACCAGTAAAATTTCATAAATAAACATACACAGATGGTTAAATTATCCATGACAGTCTCTTAGCCAAACCCCAGAGTAATATGGATTTAAATTGCATAAATTAGCCCAAAAGGAGGTGAGACTAGCATACTTTGTAGCAATCTGGTATTCAGTAAGTACAGATCTAATCAGCTTCTACCAATGTAAATTCAGAGTTACTCGAAGTAAGAAGAGCAGCTCTAGACTTTGGTATCTGTATGACATCGAACGGGAAGCACTGAGAAGTAAAGCAAAATACTCGTAGAATCATAGAATCGTTCAGGTTGGAAAAGACCTTTA